CAATTTCCTCTCAAGACCAAATAACAATCTTCCAAGTTCATCATTCTCCAAACATTATCCTTTGATTTTGGTAAGTATTTTCGAGATTTCTTAGTGTTACACACAATAAATGTGTTAAAAACCATTAAGATAACATTATCTTCAAGGAAAGTTCATCAACTCCATTCAAGAGTTTAGGCTTGAAATCTTCACTTCATCACTTCGAGCAACCCACAAAATCCACTCAAGGTGAGTTCATACGCCCATATTTTCAAGCTTTTTCATGTTTTTAGGGGGATGGGGGCGAGGCGGGGGGGGGGGGGGAGGGGATACAATTAAAACTTGTTTATCATAGAAATAATTACATGTTTTCATTTCTATGTTAAAGATAAGATATTATTTGCCTAACATATTGTTAATACTAGTTTTTGTATAACTACATGTGATATATATATATATATATATATATATATATATATATATATATATATATATATATATATATATTGGTTTGAATTGCAAAACTAACTAAACAAACATAATCTATGTTATAAAATCATTGGAAAAATTATGATTTGTAAAACTACATGATTTTTGGAAAACTTTACTAATAGATAGTATTTCTAGCAAATATGGTTACATTTTAGTCATTTACTATTTTGGTGGGTTTCAACCCAAAAATATTATGTTTTGATTAAACATTGTGACACTAGACAAGATAACAACTTTATATTTATATAATAGACTATATAAATAGTCTCAACAAACACACAAGATAAACTATAATTAGTATAGTATGGAAGTCATAAACCACACTTTCATTTCAGAAGAACCATATAATTATTCAAAGCTATAATTATTTCATTTTACAAGAAAGAGGAGTCATAGTTCCAGTGAATCTGTTGATGCTCTTGTGAGACATTCTCTTCACCGTACCTACCTAGCATACACCTTAAGTCCTGTATTATAACTAGAGTCTCCTTGAGGGAGAGCGAGATAGTTGTGTATAGATCTATACGGGATTGACAACCCCGCACCTCAGCTGTTCGCTACAGTTAGACCGACAAGTCTAGGGTGACAAAAGTCTATCGATTCCGACACCTGAAGAACGTCGTTCAGGCATATCAGTCATATTAAGCATGGTTATAATAACTCACATAGGGATTGACAAAATGATTTGGTTTGCAGAGTAACTTACACTTCATTAGTTTTATAAAAAGATATAACTACATACTATTTTTCAGTATAGCAATACGTATACATTTTTGGTCTTAGAGTTCAAGACTACAATTCACATTTAAGAAAATATTGTATTTTCTGGAAACATACATTAACATTTTACAAGGAAAATATACAAAGGAAATATATACATCTACTGTTCATACTTCAGAAAATATTGGATTTTCAGGCAACATACATTATCATTTTACAAGGAAAAGAAACAAAGGAAACACATAAATTTATAGTTCATATTAAAGAAAATATCATATTTTCTAGAAGTATATAAAAATCATCCATCGAAAACGTTACAAATCTTTCTCGCACAAAAATACTTATGAACTCACCAACTTAATTGTTGACACTTTTCAAAATCACTTATATTATCAGGAAAGCAGTAGACATGTATTCACAGCATTTTGAGGCCCGGCATCGCTGCATTATGTTTTTCTACTTCTGTTATTCGTATTTAACTTTTGAGCAAAACAAAGTTGTAAACAATGTAAACTTGTATTATCAATGTATGAATGTTTGTGTTTTTATGTTTCATTACTATTCAATTGTTATGATACTGTACATGAAGTCACTCCATCCGCCCCCAGACGTTTCCGCCATTCTGGTTTGGGGGTGTGACAGTTGGCATCATGTATTTAATCACATATGATGATACATATTTAATCACATATGATTTATATAGAAAATATTTATTTTCATGTTCTTGATTCAATAGTTGATATTGTGTATATAATCATATGTGAGTATATGTATCTTATTATCTAATCACATGTGATTACATGTATCTAATCACATATGATTTATATGGATACGATTCGTTTTTTTCCATATAAATCATATATGATTACATACATATAATCACATGTGTTTAAATGTATTTAATCACATATTATTTATGGACAATATTCATTTTTGTCCATAAAAATCAATTGTGATTAAATATATGTGTAATCACATATGATTTATGTGGACACTATTTATTTTTGCGTTGTTGATTCAATATTTGGTCTCATATATTTAATCACATGTGATTATATGCACCTAATAACATATGATTAATATGGACAAGATTCGTTTTTGTGTTTTCGAGTCCATAGTTGTTCTCGTGTATTCAATCACATGTTATTATATGTATTTAATCACATATAACTATACATATTTAATCAAACGTGATTATATGTATTTAATCACATATTATTTATATGCACAAGATTCGTTTTCACATTCTCGATTTAATAGTTATTCTTTGTCCACATTAATCATATGTGATTAAATACATATAACCACATGTGATTAAATACATGAAAATTTCTATTGAGGAGAAAATGCGAAAATGAATATTGTCAATATAAATCATATGTGAATATATATATATATATATATATATATATATATATATAGATATATATATATATATATATTATATATAATCACATGTGATTGAATATAAGAGAACAAGTAACGGATCGACAACGTGAAAATGCATATTGTTCACATAAATCATATGTGATTAAAACATATAATCACATGTGATTATATTTGTCTAATCACATGTGATTAATGTGGATAATATACATTTTTGTTATTCTCGTGTATTTAATCGTATATGATTATAAGTATCTAATCACACATGATTTATTTAGATAAAAACCAATCTTATACATATAATCACATGTGGTGGTGGTGGGTGAGGGTGTTGGCGTTGGTGTCAGTTGGTGGTAGTGGGGGTGGTGGTAATGGTGGTAGAGGTGTGTGGTGGTGGCGAGTGCTGGTGGTGGTGATTTTGGTTGGTGATGGGTGGTGGTGATAGAAGGTGGTGGATGGGTGATGGTGTTGGTGGCTGGTGGTTGGTGGTAGTGGCGGGTGGTGGTGATGGAGGTGGGTGGTGATGGTTCTTGGTAGAGGTGGGTGGTGGTGATGGGTAGTGGTTGGTGGTGGGGGTAGTGGCGACGGGTGGTATTGATGGTGGTGAGTAGTGTTGGTGGTGGTGGTGGCTTTAATGGGTGATGAGGGGGGTGGTGGTAGCAAGTGATGGTGATAGGTGGTGAGTAGTGTAGGTTAGTGGTAGGTCGTGGTTCGTAGTGGTGACGGGTGGTGGTAGTGATGGTGTATGTTGGTTTTGGTGGGTGATGGTGATGAGTGATGGAGGTGGGAGGTGGTGGTGGTGGTCGGGGGTGATGGTGGTCTTGGTGGGTGGTGGGTAGGGGTGGTTGTGGCGAGTGGTTGTAATGGGTGGTGTAGGCGGGCGGGCGGGTGGGATGGTGGTGGTGGGTGGTGGTCATAATGGTGGGTGGAAGTGATGGGTAGGTGGTGGATGATGATGGTGGGTTGTGGGGGTGGTAGGTGGTGGTGATGGTTGTGGATGGTGGTGGGTGGGGATGGTAGTGGCGGGTGGTGGTGATGATGGTGGGTAGTGGTTTTGGTAGGTGATGGTTGGGGTGGTCGTGACAGGTGGTGGTGATGGGTGATGAAGGTGGGTGGTGGTATGGTGGTGGTGGTTGCTGGTCGGTGGTGATGGTGGTAGGTGGTGGTGGTCTTGGTGGGTGGTGGGTGGGGGTGGTAGTGATGGGTGGGTGGGGGTGGTGGTGGTGGGTGGTGGTTGGTGGTAGTGGCGGGTGGTGGTCGTAATGGTGAGTGGTGGGTGGGTGGTAGTGATGGGTGGTGGAGGTGGGTGGTGGGTGGATGGGTCGGTGGTGGATGCTGACGGTGAGTGGTGGGGGTGGTGGTGAAGTGGTGGGTGGTGGTGACAGGTGGTGGGTGATGAGCGGAGAGGTGGTGACAGCTGGTGGTGATGGGTGATAGAAGTGGGTGGTGGTGGTCGGTGGTGATGGTGGAAGGTGGTGGTAGTCTTGATGGGTGGTGGGTGAGGGTGGTTGTGGTGGGTGGTGGTGATGGGTGGTGTAGGCGGGTGGTGGTGATGGGTCGTGGTGGTGGGTGGTGATGCATAGTGAAGGTGGGATGGTGAGGATGGTGGGTGGTGGGTGGTGGGTGGTGGAGGCGGGTGGTGGTGGAGGCGGGTGGTGGGTGGTGGTTGGTGGTAGTGTCGAGTGGTGGTCATAATGGTGGCTGGTGGGTGCATGGTAGTGATGGTGGTTTTGGTGGGTGGTGGTGGGGAATGGTTGTGGAGGGTGGTGGTGATGGCGGTGGTGGTGGTGGATGGTGGTCGTTGTTGGTGGTGGCGGGTGGTGATGATGGTGGTGGGTGGTGGATGGGGGTGGTGGTGATGGGTGGTGGTGGTGGTGTTGTTTGGGTAGTAAGTGGTGTTGGTTAGTATGTTTTTTAATTTTTTTTACTTATTTTTTATTTATATTAATATTATTTGATGATTTTAATTTAAAAAAATTGTATGTTTCAAATTTTTTCTCACAATAAGAAATATTCTCAACTGAACGCTACTATATATATATATCTAATATATATATCTCTATATATATATATATATATATATATATATATATATCTATATATATTTAAAAAATATTTTAAATTTTAAATTTTAATTAATGTTAATTTTAACTGTAGTTTTTAATTGTAGTTTTTAATTTTTAGTTTTATGTTAATTTATTATTTAAAAAGTAAGTAAAAAATAACAATAACAATAATTAATTATTGAAAAAATAACAATAAGTAAAAAGAAAATAATAAATGACAGTGACAATTCATTAAATTGTATAGATTCTAATGGAGAATGTAGAATTTAGTTGGTAAAATTGTATAGCAAGGAGAATTTACATGTATCAATCTATTGAAGTTATATAAGTTGAATGTCTTCGAGATGGTCTAAATCCTCAGATCTTATTGAGGTCGTTGTCTCTAACGAATATCCCATGTAAACCGTAAGGCACTCGTTGTGGCAGTTTGACCTCAGCCACAATTTCTAGTGAATGTGACTGCGCATCCATCACCAAGAATCTCGACTCTCCTAAGCTCTCATTGTGCACAAAAGATACAAGATACCCATCGTCCTCTTTTGAGTTTGGATTCTTCGGTTCTCTTGAAACAAAGAAAGGTTCACCTCCGAAGCAGTTATCTCCGTATATCCGACGAGCAACTGTGTGGTCGTGTACATCTGTGTTGTCTTCTCGTTTCTCAATATCCAGCTTTGCGACCCCTATTGTCCTCATCATTCTCGATTTCATTGGCGTTTTCTCAGAGATCGCTGCGTAGACATACCTGCATAATGTCAATATTTTCTGGTTAGACAGCGGCAGATTTTGATGTTATGTAGTTGTTGAAAAATAGGTGTTTGCTTACTTGTTCTTTTTGGCAACATAAGCTGGATTGATCACCGTAAACTCCAAGTTATCAGTCGATAAAGTTTGCCTCGAGACAACCCCAGTCCGAAAATGAATGGTCACTTTCTCCATGGATGCTTGGATCAGGTCCACCCGGTCAAGGAAGTGTTCTACTGTCAATATGTTTGGTGCCACCAAAACCACCACCTCGCCGCCATCTTCATCCGTCTCATCCCATGCATTGACGGCATGAAATATATTGAATCCCGGCACCTCAAACCACTTCATATCAGATTCGTCCTTTGCGTACCTTGGAAGAACACCGATTCTTGGAACTTTTTTCGGGTCTACACTTACTAACTGTCTTCCACGGATCAAGTTCATCGGATCCGCTCCTAGTTGAATATCAAAGATGATTGCATACTTTTTGGTGATAGCCAAGTCATGAGTTAGAGAGGGTTGTTTCATGGAGAGGATGGGGACGTCGGGTTGCTTATTTCCGTTTGCATCAAACCGAAAGTAAGTAAGATATGGACGTGTTCCCCAGTAACGAAACGAGAAAGCCTCCTTCGTCTCTGGATCTATCTTTGAGTGGGCCGTCATGTTCATGCTAAGCTTCCCATCAAAATCATGTTGACCTAACGTTATTATGTCACCATTATCATCTCTAACTTTGATTGCATAGGGAAGATCGGATTCACATAAAGCATACAACGAGCCCCCTAAAACCGCTATGTTGGTGTTTGCTACACCGATACCTTTTCCAATATCATAATGCCCGAAAACAACTCGTGCAGCGAACACCGCAGCACGAGAAACAAAGGAACCAAGTCCCTGCATGCCTCCGATGATATTTGGAACAATGTAGGATTTAACTTGTTGCTCAGAGACAAACTTGTTTGTCTTCACGTATCGGCTGCAGAGAGTGGCTTGACCTCCATGGATCCTAACGGAGTGCACCATCCCATCGCCATCAAGATAGTGGTGGGGACCACTAGGGGGGAACTGCGGGTTTGGTCCATTACGGATGTAGACACCATCAAGGCATGCAGGGATGAACCCATGTACGACTTCGCATTGGGTAGGGCTTAGCTCATCAACTGGTGCGAAATTGTCACAAAGGATGTAGCTCGGGTCAACCGACAGGTGAAGTGGAGGATCAATGAACTTGATAATAGCTTTATCAAGTGTTGAAAATATATTTTCGAGTAACGAAAGCTCTGACGATGGTTTTCTTGAATCCACCGGAATCAGTGTACATGTATTCTCAAACCCTCTTCTTCGTTCCATGATCGCCGGAATAGGTATATCTTGTTGATGTTGCAACCTTTTGGTTATTCTTCCATGATCGACCCCTTCACTGATTCCTAAGATGGAAACAATTTGTGCTTGGCGAGATTTCATTTTATTGATCCGATAAGGGAAATTGCCATATTTATGAGACATTAAAGGAGAATACATGGAGTGGAGCAATGTTTCCATTACTGCAATCGTACGTTAGTGTTTACAGAAACGTAAATAGTGAAGAGCTAAGGTGATCGAGCCAAACTGCCACAAAAAAACAGTTAGGATATGGTATTTTATGTTTGGATGGTGTTTTTTTTTATAATAATCAAGACTGAGAACATTACAGAATAGTTGTCAACAAAGGTATGCAGCTGCTAGCTAGTTGCATCTGTTTTAAATGAAAATATTGGTTCTTTCAGAGTCGACCATATTAATAATGCAAATGTTCAAAATATCTTATGACTTATCGTTGCTTCAAATTTTGCAATTATCATATAGATTAATAAAATTACATATATTAATTTCCAAAATGGTTTGACTTCTAATTAGTAATTATGCTTTAATTTAAGACAAATTGCTTAACCATTTATAAATTATAATTTACAATTTTAAGGGAAATGTCAATTTTTCCCAAATGGTCAAAAATATTATTCCTTTTTTCTCGTTAATATACCATCAAAAGACATTACGCAGTTTTTTTTTCTCAAAATTTTATGACCTCTCACATGTTGAGCCCTTTTTTTGCCAAAGAAAAAAAAAAGAGAAAAATGGTATCATGGATAAGATTTTTTTAAAGAGGATAACAAATTTTCATATCTACTTAAAACGTGGCTAGCAAGGGATCAGTTTTTCTTGCGAAAAACCGACGGAGTCTCCATCACCAAAAATGGCCACTTAATATAATTATTTAAAACATTGGCGACAATTTTGATAACACTATTCCGTCGCTGCTCTGTTGTAAATATCCATTTTTGCTTTTTTGTATCCTTCGCTGATCTTAGCAAATTTCATATATGATTTTACATTTTTCTGCAGTAGATCCCTCACAAACTTGATATATGATTTTTTTATATATATTTTTTCCATTGCCGATGTCTTGCAAACTTCAGATATGATTTTTTTCTAGTCGGTGATCCCTCACAAATATATAATATCATATGCTTTTTATTATGAATCTAAAACAAAAGCTTTTTATTATGAATCTAAAACAAAAGATACCAAAAACATCAACTAATAATATTATCCCAAAGAAAACATTATCTTTTAAATAACACAAACATCAAATAGTTATAAAACCCAAAACCAAATATTAACATTGCAATACCAAAAACTATCAAAGTTTACACATTCGTCCAAAAACATAGATATCAAAGTTAACCAAAACATCCAAAAACATAAAATGTGTTGTTGTTTGGCATCTATTGTTGCAGCTTTGGTATCTATTGCCTCACACATTTGTTGATGTTTGGCTTTCATTTATGTAACTTTAGCGTCCATCTCCCCATGCATATCTTCTCGTATACATTCATATACAATCTACAATGCCAAAGTAGGAAAAATTTATAAAGTACAATGTTATTAAAAGTAATTTAACAATTTGGTAGATTTTGTAAGTACATTGTCGTGATAGGAAAATTTTATAACTTGGTTTGTAAGTATAGTGTCACAATAGGAATTTTTATAAAGTACAATGTTATGATAGGATACTATAAAGAACAAAATTAAACGAAACTATTGGGATGGTATTGTACTAGTTGTTCATTCCAAAAAGCTCGTTGGATCAGACACATGCGAATCCAAATATTCTTCCTTTCTTGATCTCTCTGGAAACATCACACCATCTTTCATTATCTAATAGGGGAGGGCAACTAGTATCATCGTCATACTTAGCCACCATAGTACTTTCATAAGCTTCTTATTATAGCAAAAAAGTATAAAGGTAAGATGTTCTAATAGACAAATAGATTTATGTGTGACAAAAATGTTTATCTTGAAAAACAATGTACTTTCAAATATAAAATACATTGTAATATAATTGTTTATAGAAGTGAAAAAAAATATACAATGTTAGATTTATTTTCTATTTTTTTTTTTTTTTTTTTTTTAATTTGATTATTGGTTTTTTGTTAGGAAGAGGTCGACTAACATCAATAGGCAAGATAATAACAAAACCAGAGAAAGGGTTGAATAACATAGCCAATGGAAAACTGGACAGGGTTCAAAAGGACCAAGACGAAGCAGATGAATATTTTGTATAACAACTCCCTTTTGCTATTTTAGATATTTTAGAAATATAAGAAAAGCATAATTTCAAAACAAGAAAAGGGTAAGAAAATGTAGAATTACAAACATATATTTGCAAAATTCCTAAGTTGATTTAATTTCAGTGTTTTCATTACTTTTGTAAATGGTTATATTATAATGTTTATAAAAATCGCCTCAACCCAACCAACTATAACATGTCGACATACACATATAAGATAAACATATAACCAGACATCAAACAAACAGGCAGGTTTACAGAACATTACCGCATACTAACATCATATGTACCAGGATACCGATCTAACAGATCATAATAACATATTATCATATAACATGATATCAAATCTACTAGGCTGGCCTTGGTGTCGTCGACCCGTAAGTACAGTGAGGAAGACTCACCTCATAGCCTAACGAAACTGGTCAATACTCCGATCCCGAATAACGACTCCACCCAAGTCATGAATGTCCAGACATTTCCCATAGGAATTTTTATAAAGTACAATGTTATGATAGGATACTATAAAGAACAAAATTAAACGAAACTATTGGGATGGTATTGTACTAGTTGTTCACTCCAAAAAGCTCGTTGGATCAGACACATGCGAATCCAAATATTCTTCCTTTCTTGATCTCTCTGGAAACATCACACCATCTTTCATTATCTAATAGGGGAGGGCAACTAGTATCATCGTCATACTTAGCCACCATAGTACTTTCATAAGCTTCTTATTATAGCAAAAAAGTATAAAGGTAAGATGTTCTAATAGACAAATAGATTTATGTGTGACAAAAATGTTTATCTTGAAAAACAATGTACTTTCAAATATAAAATACATTGTAATATAATTGTTTATAGAAGTGAAAAAAAATATACAATGTTAGATTTATTTTCTATTTTTTTTTTTATTTTTTTTTTTAATTTGATTATTGGTTTTTGTTAGGAAGAGGTCGACTAACATCAATAGGCAAGATAATAACAAAACCAGAGAAAGGGTTGAATAACATAGCCAATGGAAAACTGGACAGGGTTCAAAAGGACCAAGACGAAGCAGATGAATATTTTGTATAACAACTCCCTTTTGCTATTTTAGATATTTTAGAAATATAAAAGCATAATTTCAAAACAAGAAAAGGGTAAGAAAATGTAGAATTACAAACATATATTTGCAAAATTCCTAAGTTGATTTAATTTCAGTGTTTTCATTACTTTTGTAAATGGTTATATTATAATGTTTATAAAAATCGCCTCAACCCAACCAACTATAACATGTCGACATACACATATAAGATAAACATATAACCAGACATCAAACAAACAGGCAGGTTTACAGAACATTACCGCATACTAACATCATATGTACCAGGATACCGATCTAACAGATCATAATAACATATTATCATATAACATGATATCAAATCTACTAGGCTGGCCTTGGTGTCGTCGACCCGTAAGTACAGTGAGGAAGACTCACCTCATAGCCTAACGAAACTGGTCAATACTCCGATCCCGAATAACGACTCCACCCAAGTCATGAATGTCTAGACATTTCCCATAGGAATTTTTATAAAGTACAATGTTATGATAGGATACTATAAAGAACAAAATTAAACGAAACTATTGGGATGGTATTGTACTAGTTGTTCATTCCAAAAAGCTCGTTGGATCAGACACATGCGAATCCAAATATTCTTTCTTGATCTCTCTGGAAACATCACACCATCTTTCATTATCTAATAGGGGAGGGCAACTAGTATCATCGTCATACTTAGCCACCATAGTACTTTCATAAGCTTCTTATTATAGCAAAAAAGTATAAAGGTAAGATGTTCTAATAGATAAATAGATTTATGTGTGACAAAAATGTTTATCTTGAAAAACAATGTACTTTCAAATATAAAATACATTGTAATATAATTGTTTATAGAAGTGAAAAAAATATACAATGTTAGATTTATTTTCTATTTATTTTTATTTTTTTTTAATTTGATTATTGGTTTTTGTTAGGAAGAGGTCGACTAACATCAATAGGCAAGATAATAACAAAACCAGAGAAAGGGTTGAATAACATAGCCAATGGAAAACTAGACAGGGTTCAAAAGGACCAAGACGAAGCAGATGAATATTTTGTATAACAACTCCCTTTTGCTATTTTAGATATTTTAGAAATATAAGAAAAGCATAATTTCAAAACAAGAAAAGGGTAAGAAAATGTAGAATTACAAACATATATTTGCAAAATTCCTAAGTTGATTTAATTTCAGTGTTTTCATTACTTTTGTAAATGGTTATATTATAATGTTTATAAAAATCGCCTCAACCCAACCAACTATAACATGTCGACATACACATATAAGATAAACATATAACCAGACATCAAACAAACAGGCAGGTTTACAGAACATTACCGCATACTAACATCATATGTACCAGGATACCGATCTAACAGATCATAATAACATATTATCATATAACATGATATCAAATCTACTAGGCTGGTCTTGGTGTCGTCGACCCGTAAGTACAGTGAGGAAGACTCACCTCATAGCCTAACGAAACTGGTCAATACTCCGATCCCGAATAACGACTCCACCCAAGTCATGAATGTCCAGACATTTCCCATTAATAAAATAATCACAATTTCCTAACTTACTCTTGGTCAAACTTGGTCAGAACTACAAGTCAACTGAGTCAACCCATCCGAATCATCCCAGTCGAGTCGAAACAGAATGCGTACGCGGGTCGTACTCCGGAGGTACATGGGGCGTACTCAAATCTTGACCGCAGACGGGAGGTTTGACCGCGTACGCGTTGCATACTCCAGGTTACGCAGGTCGCATCCCCATACTTCTTAAAACTTCATTAAGAGCTTAATGCCTTAAGCTCTTACGTCTAACTTTCATATCCAAGGCTAAATTATCCTCTAGAGTCA